CAAATATTTATATTAAACTTATCCATTAAATGTTGATCAAATATTTATATTAAAATTATCCATTAAATGTTGATCAAATATTTATATTAAACTTATCCATTAAATGTTGATCAAATATTTATATTAAACTTATCCATTAAATGTTGATCAAATATTTATATTAAACTTATCCATTAAATGTTGATCCTTGGTACATGATTGTGTAAAGTGTGTTTAGCTAGTCATAAAACTTGGTACATGATTGTGTAAAGTGCGTTTAACTAGTCATAAAACTCGGCACATGATCGTGTAAAGTGTGTTTTAACTAGTTATAAAACTCGGTACATGATCGTGTAAAGTGTGTTTAATAGTCATAAAACTCGGTACATGATTGTAAAGTGTTTTTTGAAAGAAATTAAGTTATTTTTGAAACATTTTTAATTTGATGTTTCACTAGCATCAAGCAGAAGTTGCAAGCTAATATATATTTTCTTCTTTCGTTTTACTAAGTAATGTTGGTAGTTTTTACAGAGAATGGAGTTCATTCTTCCCTAATTATATACAAAAATATCAAACAAATAACTCTGTGTGTAATTTGAATTAAATATTTTTTACACATATACAAGGTGAAGAAGAGGGATTTTCAATGTATTAAATATTCTAATATACTAATAGTACTCACAGGTCAATGTGTCCATTCTGTTTCTATAGACCTAATCAATACATTATAAAATCCTAGTTCTGCTCAAGTATTAACTAATTTAAAGCTCAACCTAGTATTGAATTTAAGGTGTCTTGAAAACACAATATAAAATTACATTTATTCTTATAAAGTATGAAACATTACAAATATCACACTGAGAGATAAAAGTGCAAAATACAAATGAAAGTTTTTAAATGTGTATTATATACCTTGACAGTTTTAATGGTTTCAAAATAATAGTACAACATGCTAGATAAGTATAGCGATGAAAAAAACCCACATATAGAGCAAAACAAAACTGAAACTCCATGCAAAAAGTGATTTAGAAATGAGCTCTGATGACATGCATCATAAATATTTTAGGTAAATGATCGTGTAAAGTGTGTTTAACTAGTCATAAAACTCGGTACATGATTGTGTGAAGTGTGTTTAACTAGTCATAAAACTCAGTACATAATTGTGTAAAGTGTGTTTAGCTAGTCATAAAACTAGGTACATGATTGTGTAAAGTGTGTTTAGCTAGTCATAAAACTAGGTACATGATTGTGTAAAGTGTGTTTAACTAGTCATAAAAAATGACGTGTATAAAACATTCTAAGTTAAAACTCACTTAATGACGTGTATAAAACATTCTATGTTAAAACTCACTTAATGACGTGTATAAAACATTCTATGTTAAAACTCACTTAATAATGTGTATAAAACATTCTAAGTTAAAACTCAGGTGATGACTCGTATAGGATATTCTAAGTTAAAACTCAGGTGATGACTCGTATAGGATATTCTAAGTTAAAACTCAGGTGATGACTCGTATAGGATATTCTAAGTTAAAACTCAGGTGATAACTTGTAGAAGTAACTTTACACATTTTTTTCAACAAATATATTTTAATACAAAGGTAGTATCTTTCATTCATTAGATTATAACTAAAAACTATTTTAGGGTTTATTTGATTTTTTAAAATAATAAACACATTTTAAAAATGACAAAAGAAAACTACCAAGAATTTCCATCATGTCTGTTTTTTGCTGCACCACTGTTGTCTTGTTTTTTGGTATTAAAACACGGAAAAGTTCCTTCTTCAGCGGTAATTGCCACACTGTATGCTTCCTCCAAGTTTCCTCGATTTTGGAAAAATTCCGTCAGTTGTTGGGTGTTTCCTATTGCTGTTAGATAAGGCACAGCTTTGTCATCGTCAGACTGAAATAAGATCCTTGCGTGCCTGTAAAAATAATACTGTGGTCATAAAAACTTAAAATATACTAAGAAGAAATTATATGCCAGCAGATAGGTCATTTGAACTCAGTGATATCTCGATCTTTGAACGTTGAATAAAAAAATATTTCAGTTCTATGAGGTAAGAAAGAATCTAGAGGAAGAGTTATATTATTTTTACAACTGACACAATACAAAAAAAAAGATTTCTAATATATTAACAATCAAGTTTTCCTGAACTAAAATCCCTGCTTTAATCAGTTCTTATGCCATAATATTCTAACATAGTAACTGATAATAAAAAGTGGGTAGAGCATTCAGCCAATGTGTGCTGACCTGTTTTAAAGTCATGCTGTTTTGTATCTGCTAATCTGGTCAGCCAAAGCATCATACGAGTTTAAAGGTGGATTTAGTAAACACTTAAAAGTGCCCAAGTTAATATTTTCTGAGCATTATGTTATTCTACTAATGACTGAGAAACATTAGAAACATTAGAAGAGAGGACATTAAGAGACAAACTGATTGGTTACATGAGGGCTATTTGTACTAGCCATCCCTAATTTACCAGTGACAGACTAGAGGGAAGGCAGCTAGTCAAGACTACTAACCATCAACTCTTTTACCAATGAATAGTAGGATTGACTGTCACATTATAACACCCCCATGGCTGAAAGGGCAAGCATGTTTGATGTGACAGGGATAGACAATCTGAAATTACAGTAACACACGGAAAAGTAAAGAATTGTTAGGGTGGCCAGAAAAACAAGGACAGCCCAGCCCTTGCCCCTAATTTGAAGATGGTTATTACAAATTGGAAATAATTTAACTTTTATTTGATTTACTTTAAATTTATTGGAATGGTCGAAAATATTTCTAAATATATTAACATTGTTTTTGAAATAATTTAAACTACCTTTTTTGGTGATAGACACAAAATAAATGAGCAAAAATAGTTAAATTGTTCATCCAAGAAATCCTTAATTATTCACTTTATCCAATTCATCTTAAAATTGGTTACTTAACACCTGGATTTATTTTAGAATCCATAACATTTTCATACATACTACTTGAAGGTTTTAGCATTACTTTGAAACTTTTTAGACATATTTTTGTGAAGAATATAGAAATTCTGTTTTTTTTTTACTAACTAATCATAAAACTCAGTACATGAGTGTGTAAAGTGTGTTTAACTAGTCATAAAACTCAGTACATGAGTGTGTAAAGTGTGTTTAACTAGTCATAAAACTCGGTACATGATTGTGTAAAGTGTGTTTAACTAGTCATAAAACTTTGAACCTCAACCTGCAGAATTAGTTTAATCTGTCTTGTTACATTAGAACCTCAACCTGCAGAATCTTCCAGAGGTAGTGAAACTGTTCTTTTAAATTATAGTTGCAGTTAGTAAATTAGAAATAAACACAGTTGATGACGTGTATAAAACATTCTAAGTTAAAACTCACTTAATGACGTGTATAAAACATTCTAAGTTAAAACTCACTTAATGACGTGTATAAAACATTCTAAGTTAAAACTCACTTAATGACGTTTATAAAACATTCTAAGTTAAAACTCATTTGAATTAGTTTAGTCTGTCTTGTTACATACAGGTACTAGGTTTATGTTATAGAGGAAATAAGAAACACACATACAGCCAGAAAGAAAGAAAGACAACACAGCTACTAGGTCTATGTTACGGAGGAAACACATGAACATATTTAATTTAGGGGAATTCACATACCAATATCAAAAAGTAAAATATGGTACGAGTCATTGGAACACATCTGTGGAAACCCAAAGATACATTTACTACCAATGAGATTGACATACAGTATCTCAGGTTTTTCATCGATATTAACCAATCTGGTATTTTTAACATAATATCAGAGTAGGGATTAACATTTTCAAAGAAAATAGAAGATGCTTAAAAGTAATATTTGATATAAATTGACGAAACAAATATATTTCAAGTTAATAATAACACTCGTTTTCCTATTCTCTGTGATGTTAATCACTTTAATACAGAAACTATATGTTTTAAATTAGAATTTCTAGTAAGTTTGGACAATTTCTCTTTAATGAATTATCTCTAGAACTTAAAATTTACTATAACAATGATAAAAATCTGACATGACTGATAATGTTCCACCTTTTTCATCAGCTCATTACGTTCCACAAGAGAGGTTGGACAGTGCGCACACAGATGGAATTTATCTACGTCACATTCTGAAGAGGAATTTAGCAAGTCCATAGAAAGGTCCCTGAGGTTGAAAAGAAAACAAAACAAGATTCCTAAATCCCATTTAATCTGATAAAAGAAAGAACCAATGAGAGCAATTTTCATTTAACACATGCATATACAATTTTTTTCTAACGTACCAATCAACCAGGTAAAAAACAACTTACAAGCAAGTTACATGTATTTACAATTTTTGAGACAACTAGTAAAACTCAGAAGACCGTGTTGAAAAATCTTAATTTCATAATGATGAAAATGACAACATATTTTTGATGTCATCATTAGGCTTAACTTCAAAGTGTTCAGTGCTTACCACTGCCCTAGCTTAGCACATTTCCATGCTAGATATTTCAACGCTGTCTTAAACCATGGGTCATCTCTCTTCATGACTTTAGCCAAACAAATAACCAGTTCTGGCTCATTGCCTCTTAACAGCATTGTCAGAGCTCTCTGAAATATATATAGTGTAAAAAATGTTATATTAGCTATATATGAGTTTCTATCTTTATAGGTTTAGGGTAGACTTCTGAACAAGTGGTATGGGATAATCAACGCAACTGACGAAGAAAAAAAACAGAAACATTAACAAAAAGGAGTATTATTTCTGAAAGACAAATAAGCTACTTTTTAAAAATATGTTTATCTGACTGGTCAGATATAAGTTAATACTTAAAAAAACAGTTACATAACAGTAATTGGTTGTGTTACTTTGGAACTGACAAATTCAAATACACAGAGATGATTGGCAGGATACATGCAAACTATGAACAGTTAACGTAAATATAAATAACAACAGTGGAGGAGTAGCATTTACTTTAGATGAGGAATGTATTTTCTATTATTCATGGAATTTAATTGTTTATTAAAATACAATCATTAGAAAGTTTTGTTTTTGTAACCGATGCGTTTCGCTTGATCAGTATAACAGCAAATAAGTAAGGAAGATGAAATTAATATATAAATGATTAATCAAAGGTAAAACATTACATCTTTCCAAGCTTTGATAAAACCTCCATACTTCACTGCAAAAAAACAACAAAAATCACTATTAAATGAAAAACTAAAATTCTTGATTAAGAAAAGTCAAATTGTCAAACTATTTAAAACTGTAATCACAATAAGTGTAAAGAAAAGACTACATCTAATATAAATATTTTCATGTGTTTTTACCATCTCGAGAAAAAACTAATAACTTCATCTATGTTTCCAGATGACTCACTTTAAACAGTTACATTTCAGAAAGGTCAATTTAAAAAATAATCTTGATCAGAATTTAACATTTTGATGTGAACATAATTTACTAAAAGGTCAACTACCTGAGACTTCTCATTAATGAGTCTTTAAAAAACAAGATCTCCACCTATTTGAAAGTTAAATACCTGAATCTCATCAAAAGTTATTCTATAAGGATGAAGCCCAAACTTATTTGAAATTTAAAAGTCCAATTTATTTAAAAGTTAATTACCTGTGAGTCATCAACAGCAAGAAAACTGCAAGCTGCATGTATAGGAGAACCGTTTCTCATGTGACATTCTGCCAACTTGTTCACACATTCCTTTAATAAACTGTGGATAAGTTAAATTGTTAACTTCATGATGACAAATGATAACCACAACTAAATATCTCACTGTCAACAAACATCATTTTACTCTAGGTTATTTACAACCTCAGGTATTTGGAACATTCACGAGTTATTTTATAGAAAACAAATAAACAGCTATGTTTCATTAAGTGCAAAATCTAACCAATATTCTTCAAAATGCTTTTTTGTCATGGTACTATGTATATTTAAGTTAAATTGATAGACTACTATTGTATTTATATATATCTCAAGGATAACCGTGAGGAACTTAATAGTTCCACAATGAGCATCTAACAGCCAATATACGGAGCTTACAAAAACTAACATGTTGAAAAAAAAAAACAACAGGAAATGTACTTATTAAAATATACAAATATTTTACCTACAAATTTCCGAGAGTGGTATCTATTTTCGCTATATCAGCTCAAAATCATGTTCTCTGAACATTTAGTAGTCGACCATGATTTTTGTGAATATTTAATAAAACACCTCTGGTTAGCCTAGCTGTTTCTTGTACTTGAACGATAAACACCACATATAATTATCACGTTTTTCTAGCCCTAATATATCATACATTGAAAAATGTTAAAAGATTAAAGGAAATAGTATACCATTTACCACAACTAATATCTTTAACATGCTAACATACTTTAAACGTGTGTTTCAAGTACCATCTTAATAACAAAACACATTCTGATTTAAGAAATTTGATAATTCCAAGACCAAAGATGAAAAAAGCAGAGAAGAATAAAAGCACAAAGAAGCTTGTTACTAAATTTACCATATGAGGAACTACACTTACACATAACATCCTCTGATCTCGATCAACGATAGCACATGATACAAAGTACTACTTTTTACTTTTCAATGTTACATTCCTTCTTTAGGGTTAGTACTGGTTAAAATGTTTAATACATGTATAGAATTTTCTTATTTTATATTTTTTCACTTCTGAGAATTAAATTGGATTTTTAGCTTATTAATGTATGGAGTTAGGAAAAACCTAATTTCCTAAGCCTTGCAAGATATTATTACAGACAAAAATATTGATAACAGTAAGGGTACCCAACTGTTGAATCAATGCATTCTGATCATTATAAGTTTTTGTTTTATGACAATATACACTCCCAGTTATTCCTGTCTATTTAATTAATTATGTTAATTATTGGAGTAATTGTTAGTTCTTATC